GGATGGCTGCTGCCTTCACCCCCGGCACTCCGTGCCCGGGTCTTGCTGGGTGTGGAAAAGCCCCGCTGAGCACTGGGCTGCGGGGACACTGGGAACAGGGGGTCCGTGTGAGCACCGCCCAGGGAGCCCCTGCTCCACTCTTGGTCCTTTTCTGCAAAGGATGCTCAATCAGTGCGTGGCCAAGTCCAGCCTGGGGCACCGAACTGCTCCCACCACCCTGGACTCCGAGGGGGCTGTGGAGTGCCAGGCTTGGACCAACTGCTGGTTTGGCAGGCCCACACCAGGCTCTTCCGTTCTTCTGCCTTTGGTATTGGAATCGGTGCTACCGGCCCTGCCCTGCGATAGCCCGACACAGCCTTTCTCAGGGCAGCAGCTCAAGTGCTTGCTGCACATCTGTATGTATCTGTGCATCTGGACACATGTACCTCTGTACGTCCAGGTACAGGATGCATACAGGTCCCAGCCCAAACCACATCAGTGACAGCTTTGGCACCTGCTTCTCTTCACCCATTGCCTGTGTAGTGGGGAAGCAGCAGGAGATTTGGAGGGTGTTCAGGCTTCAGTTGCTCGTGTCTGTGTGTATCTGTGCACAGTTAAACTTTCAGGAAAGCAAAGCAAATGTGGATGTAAACCTAAATGAGAGAGCTTGGGCTGCCCATGGGTATTGCCATGGCAAAGGGCTTCAAAGCTGGGAACACTTGCCCTGATGCAGACAGGGGACAGTCCCCAGTCTTGCTGATCTCTGTCCTTCTGTGCAGTTCGTTAAACAGCACGTCCCAGCATGTTTGTCTGATTGATGGTGCTTTATATATAATTTCTTCATGCTCCCCTAGTGCTGCAAGTTCAATCACGGTGCATGCGGCACTGGTCTGTGCTTGGGGATATACAAACCTCAAATGAGCAAACCAGGTGGGCCCCTGTGAGGTTTTGTGCCAGCTCTGCTATGTCCTCATTGCTGCCACTACCTAAAAGGAGGCGCATAGAGTCTTACCTAGGGCCAAAGGGTCCCTTGCCCTGTGGCACAAGCAGAGAGATTTTGAGGCCCATGGGGAGCAGTGCCAAGGCCAGGAAGAGGAGATAAGCCTTGTTCAGATGAGTCCAAGGTGTAGGTGGATAAACCTAGCTAGTGGAGATGATGGAGGTTATGGAGAAACAGCAGTCCTGATTATTTAACATAGTGGTGCAGCCATCTGTTTTCTAAGCTCAGTCCACAGGCTGTGTTTAGTGCAAACCAATATCTATAGAGACCGACTGTACGAGCTTTGGACACCTCCCAGCCTGTATCAAATGCTATGAACCAAGAGCAGATGCTGTCTGTCTGCTTTGAGTCCCACAAAAGTGCATCCCAGCTCTCCACAGAGGAGCATTATTTTGCATGAAGATGTTTCTCTCCCTGTCAAATGCTCAGCCTCTCTGCAATAACATCTCCAGACCGACAGCCACTAACATCAGGCCTGAGGCTGCAGCCGCTACTCTCTGGCCATGTCTCTTATCTTCAGATGCTGGGTAAACAATTATATTTGATGTCCCAAATAAGGACAAAGCTTTTTCAGTAAAACTAAGTCATATTTACATATTTTTTATGATTGAATGTATCCATTATTGCTTTCCTGGGGTACGATTTATTCCTTTGTGCATTGCTCCTTTCTGAAAGCCAAAAGAGAGGAGGGGCTTACGTATGACTAAGACGTGAGGCCACAGACTTAGACTGATTCAGTCTTCACATGGGCCATTGCTGCTGTCAGCCAGACAGTGGCATTTCTATAAAAATCCCAAAGTAAATATTTGTTCTAAGAAGTCAGGCTTTTTCTCTCCTTTTGCCTTGTCTGGAGTATAACTGAGGCAGCTTACGAAATGCTGTATCGTTTCAAGATTGCTATTGAAAGCTGAGGGGGTTGTTGTCTGCCCTGCACGCACTCCCCTCCTCCCGGGATAATCTCCTCCTGATTTATTTTCTTTCCTCAAATTCTTTCTCCCCATACAGTGACTTTCATGAAGGCCAAACTGTTTTCCTCCCCTAGAAGCATGTCTCGATTTCTAGCCCTCCCTGCCCTGTCAGGAGACCAACTGGGGAGCGTTGACGGAGGGGGATGAATATTTGCCTTCACTAACAGTTGGATTATTCCCACTTTTCAGATGCCATCTGTGTGACAGGGTTTGGTTTGCACTAAACACAGCCTGTGGGCTGAGCTGAGAAAACAGACTGCTGCACCACTATGTTAAATAACCAGCATTAAAGTTTGGTTCATCGGAGAGCTTTAGGCTGCCGTGGAGGTCTTTTGGAGGGGGAGATACAGCTCATTTCCATGTCAGGCTGCTGAAATCAGATTTTAATTTAAGTTTTGATCACACTCTCTGTTGGCAGTGCTGTCACCTGGGATCCGCAGGACTTCTCACCCGTGGTTTGCAGGCAGGGTGATGGCAGCTGGCAGGCAGGGCTGAGAAGCACCAGTGCTCTGTTCCTGCCGCTGCCCGGCTGGGTTGGTGCAGAAAAGGGGCTCTCGCTGCCTGTCCCTCTTTCTTTTCTTTCCATCTTCCTCCAAGCCCTCGACACTGTGAGCAGTTTCAAACCCAGGCCAAGCAAATACTCTTAAGTTAAGCAATATTTTATATTGTAAATCACCAGGCACAGACTTGTGTCCCACCGGTTGCAGCTCTGAAGCATCCACACATACGCACAATGCAGAAAAGTCCTTTTAATCCCTCTGCCCCTGCAGAGGAGTGGCAGAGCTCCAGAGCCCACGTGAAAGCGTGGAGATCCCTGCCCTTCAGCTCTTACAGATAAAGCACACAAAAGTATTTGTCCTTGCAGTAGCTCTTGACGTTTGGGATCAGTACGTAAGTCTAGTGTGCAGCTTCTATCTCATTTATTTTCACGTACAATAAGAAAAATAACTTCAAGGTTTAATTCACCTTCTTACCCAAAATATTTGAAGTTTAACAAAATATTTTTTTTCCCACTAAATATTGCACTTGCTGTGAGTATATCTATGCTAGTCTTCTACAAGACCTGTTGGCATCTGTGTATTTCCATGCCATATGAGAAGACTCTGCATGCTCATGAGCGTGAGTGGTGGCTCTTCCTTGGTCTCCTCTTCTTTGAAAACTGTGTTTTCAGCCAGTTGAAGAAGCCACCTTTTGTTTTTAACTCAAACTCTACAGGGAAGTGGTCGCTCACTCCCAAAGCCTGCAAGACAAGGGCACAGAGGGGTTGGGAGCCAGCCACCCATGCTCTTTCCAAACCCTGCCCGAGAGAGTTCACCTTGGCGGCAGAGAGGTGGATGCACAGTGGTGGATGCAAGGAGGTGTAATGCAAGCATTACCTCGCTTTAGGAGGATGCAACAGTTTTATGAACAAGATTGTGCTCAAAACTGCCGGGATACCACTGGCTGTGCGCTCCTGCGTTAGCCCTTGCCCTCCTGCTGCAGCGGCCGTGCTGTGCCTACCTGCTCCTCAGTCATCTGAAAGTCCTTCTGGAAATCAAAGATGTTGACAGAGTGTGGCACGATGGCGTGGACGAGCTTCTGCCCACTGACCACGATCCTGCAAGGAGCAAGGGAACAGGATGCTGTTATGGGGTGCCTGAGCAGCGGTAGCCATAATGCTCTGAGCTGGTGGCCAGAGAGGTGGCCTTGATGGAGTCACAGCTATGTGTGGTTTGTCCTTGTCCATGGACTGCCTACTTAGAGATGTCAGTACATGCTTTTTGCTGAGTTTGGCTGATTGCTTTCTTGGTAGTGAGGCACCTAAATACCTTGGCATGTGTTGGCCTTGTAAGCCAACGTTATGATTTGTATCTAAACCCATTCCGACAGTGCTGCAAAGTTCAAAGCTGTACTTTGGATACAAAAATCACAGGACACCAATGACTGGAGTCTCAGTGAAGTTGTGCTTTGATCCAGAAGCTCGTTCTGCAAGAGGTTTAAGTCTTGACTTACTCTGAGCTCTAATAAGCTGATGTATTTATTGTCCCTGCTGAGGGAGCTGCAGGTAGCAGCAGGACTCACCACGTGCCTGGGGAAGGTGAGGCAACCCACCTCCTGAGCAGAACCGGATTTTGCATTTGTCAATCCAAATTATGAGTGCAAGAGCAAAAACCATGGTGCAAAGCAAGCACGGAGAAGGCAGCAGCGCCTTCCACCTGGGTGTCTGCAGGGCTCTGCGGATGAGAGGTGCTGAGTAACTGCCTATCATTTATCTCCACCCAAGCACAGCAATGGCTGATTCTTGCCTGAAATCTTGGCCTTTCTGCAAAACTGCTTGCCAACAAGCCTACAAAGTGCTTTGTGCTCCTGACTAGAAGTGTTCAGATTTCATCTCTCCCTGGACACTGGTTTATCTTTGAAGGCCTTATGCACGTTTGTTTTATCTGACAGTCTCTGACACCTCTCCATGTATTTTTTTTTCTCAGAAAGACACAGACAGGAAACGGTTTGGTAGTGAACCCTTTACCTGTCATACGGGCAGTTTGTGCTTCTCTTCACTGTTGTGTCGTTTTTGTCGTCAATTAACCAGATGAATTCGGAGTAAGTCCTCAGCCGGATGTTCTTCCATTGCTTTTGAGGAACGTAGCTGCATCCAGCATTGAAGTCCCCCATGAAGATGACGTTCTGGAAGGTAGGAGAGTTTTCAAAAGTGATGATGAGGGCAGCCCTTCAAAAGAAGACTGGCAAAGACTTTTAGGGTCAATGGCTGCTCCTAATAGCCCATACAGCTCAAATAGCAAGCGCTCGTTGAGTGCAGTGGCGCTTCTCCGTTCTGCTGGGCACACCAGCAAGGCATGCTGATAAAACAGCAGTTTTATCAGGAGATCAGGTTTACCCATTAAAACGTGGAGAAGTCAATGAAAATACATCAAAGAGATTCAAAATCTGAGACTTGTTATCAACAGGTTTAAGGCTATCGGGCTGTGAATAGCAAATCGCGTGCCAGGTGACTCAGTACCAAAGCTGCTGTTAGTAACATAGATGTGTCAGCTAACCTCGGTTTTCCAGCGCTGTTTTATGTCTAAATACACATCATAGAGCTCATCAATCTCCCGCACCGCTGTCTCTGGTGTGGTGTGCAGAGGAATTATAGCAAACTCTTTGACAGCTTGAGAATGAGGCAAAAGAACAGGAAAAAATGTAATGATTAAACACATACTGAATCACAAAGAAACAGAGATTGACTTGGAAGCAAGAAGGTTCTTCTGAAGAAGAAACAGCTTCTCTTCTGGCTCTGGATCAGAGGCGTTTGCCGTGTAATTGCACAGTGCTCCCAACCAGCTGTCCAGCCGACACTGAGTTGCGATGCGGTGAGGTGCCGTGTCAGGGCAAGGCAAACCCTGCTCTGACACCCACAGCCACAGCTGCTCCTGGGCCATGCTAGCAGCATGGAGTGCATCTGCTGCCAAACCACTGCCTGTGGCAGGCGCAGGGGTTTGGCAGGCCGGGGGCATGCACTGAGCTGCCAGCGATGCTGGAGGCAGCAGCCCCAAAGGCAAACGCTGCTCTTGTAAGGAAATGCAGCGTGGAGTCAGGATGCGGCCACTTTCCCCTGCCCCTACTGTGCACCTGGGTTCAGCTGGCACCATCTTGATCAGTGAGACTCACCAGCAGGAGAACAATTTGTTTCTGAACCATCTCACCGGTTTTTGGAGACTGGAACCAGATGGCAAAGGGCTCTCTGGAGAAGACATCCTCGTCCCCAGGCTGGGTGTCAGGGTACTGGTAGGTTTGTTTCACCGACACCAGATGTTGCCTGCAGCAGAGTAAACAAGACAGGGGATGTTACACCAGGATGTGTCTAATGCTGACTCTGTGGTCAGTGGTCTGGGACGAATACAGCCAGCCTGGTGGCTGCTCCTGGGACCATCCCCATACCCAGGCACAACCCATCCCACTTACACAGCCTGCACTTCTCCAGCTCCCTAGGAGCAAAGCCACCACCATGTCCAGCCTGTCTCTACGGTGCAGTGGAAGGGGCTGGCTCATTGGCGAGGGAAGCTCACTCACCGGTAGATGAAGGCGTACTGCTCCTTGTAGCTCTTCCTTCCCAGCCTCTCGCTGACCATGCAGCTGTATTCCTCCTTCGTCCCCTTCAGCTGACTGGGAAGAAAGTGGTTTTACTGAGTTTATTTCTGCATTCATAAAGGGCTGAGGAGGAAATAATTTTGCCTGTGCCCAAGGGTACAGGACGTTTGCCTGCCTGACCTCAGAGGAGGATGGTAGAGACAAAAAACCTTCTCAGGACCTGTGCTCCATCACTGCCTCTTTCACTCTGCATTCTCCCTGCTTATTGTGGCCTCTGTCTCTCTCTCAGCTGGGTCTCACGTCCAGCCAGGATGTGAGATTGGCTGGATTGCAATCTCAAGCAATTCCTGACCCTATGGAAAGGCAGCTCCCCTGCCACAGCCCCGTGCTAGACAGGTGAGCTGTTTTCTTTTGAGAATTGATCTTTAACAAGTCGAATCTAACTCAGTTATTTTGATTTAAAAACACGTCTCCTACAGTGTTCTGGAGCTGGTTTGCTCGTGGCCTCCGGCGCGGCTGCCAGAGCCTGGTCCTTCCTTGGCAGCAGGGTCTAGAGCCCAGACCCTGAGTTTTCGCCCTGGTAAGGCGGCGCCGAGGAGAGCATGGGCTCTTGCCAAGCATCTTTCCCAATATTTGCCTACTTGCCCTACCTGGTGAGCTTCTCCACCAGGAGAGGACAAACCCGGTTCTTGTTCTCCTTTATTTCCATCAGCAACATGATGTCACAGCGAGAAATTATCTGCAAGGGGAAGGAGCAGAAACAAGTTTGCACACGGAGGGTCTCGGAGGATTAGAAAGAGGTTAGAAAGAAGAAGGTACTGGTGCGGGGGAAGTCCTTTGTGGAAGAAGCCTGGAGTCGTGGGAGAGGGGCAGTGGCCAGAACAAAGCTCTTCTGCTTTCAGAGCAGCCTGAGGCCTGCGTGGGAGCTGAGAGAGGGAACTTGAGAGCAGAATGGTTTCGGGTTTATTGGAAAACTTTTGCACCTGCCCCTGAGGAGGAAGCGTGAAAGGGAAGGGGCAGCGAGAGCCG